GTGAAACTTTAAAAAATCGACTTGTCAGGGTTAGGTAAATATTTTAGGATCAATAGTACCAACGCATTTCAATATCTAAATCAGCAGGACGGGGATGATACGTGGAACTACATGATATCGGATATCTTATCTTATATTTTTAAAAAGTAAAACCTTATTATCTATTTCTCTCAACATACAAACTGTTTAACTAGGCAATCTACTATCACACACAATTAAAATTCACTAAGCCATGCAATTGTACTGTCCGCATCAGCAAGTCACATATTTCTTTCAACATGCAAGTTGTCTAACTACGTAATGCACTATCACACACAATTAAAATCCACTAACACATGCAATTATAATGTCCACGTCAGCAAAACACGTAAGTACTTTATTATCCATGTCATCATGCCACACAATCCACTAATATATAATTCCCGCATCAACGCACGGGGTATTCTTCTAGTACTCTTATAAAGTAAAACCCCACTGCCTATTTTTCTCAACATACAAACTGTCCAACTAGGCAATCCACTATCACACACAATTAAAAATCCACTAGCTCATGCAATTCTAATGTCCACATCAGCAAGACACATAAGTATTTTGTTGTCCATGTCATCATGACACGCAATCCACTAAAACCCCACTGCCTATTTCTCTCAACATACAAACTGTCCAACTAGGCAATCCACTATCACACAAAATTAAAATCCACTAGCCCATGCAATTGTAATGTCCACGTCAGCAAGTCACATATTTGTCTCAATATGCAAGTTGTCCAACTAAGCAATGCACTATCACACACAATTAAAATCCACTAGCCCATGCAATTGTAATGTTCACGTCAGCAAGACATATTAGTATTTTGTTATCTATGTCATCATGCCACGCAATCTACTAATCTGCAATGTTATGGACCGTGACACCTAAGAGGGGGGTGAATTAGGCAACTTAAAAATCTATTCTAAACTATGACCTCTAATTTCACCTAGTCAAAACCTATGCAAGAAAGTAATCTATCTAAATGTGCAACTACGATTTTGCTAGGTGTGTTGCTATCTCTACCGCAAAAAAGTGATGCAACCTAGGTTCCAATCCTATCAACTAGCCTATCAACTAAGCTAGGGAAGTAAAGCACACAACCAAGGTAGCAATATAAATACGGAAGGTAAAGATGAGGTAGAGGTGCAAACTCCCGTCGATGACTCCGGTATTTTTACCGAGGTATCGAGAAGCGTTCAAGCTTCTTCCTAGTCCTCGTTGAAGCCCCTCGCAAGAAATCCCTCGCAAGGGTCAAGCTCCCGATCGGATAACTCCGTGGATAGCCCCGGGCCTTCCCCACGCGCAAGTGGGTCTCCGGTGTGCCTTCCGACAAGCCTCTCCAAGACCGCTCCCCGTCATATTCACTATCAAGCTTCCGGCCGAACCACCACGGGCCTTGTTCTCTTCGATACACTGTGGCGGCCACACCATAAACGCGGTTGGTGTGATCTCGCAAGACTACAAGCCCCTCCGATGTGCAACAATGATGCACGCAAGCACCGAGTGATAAGAGGTGTGCAAACTTCACTAAACACTAGGCCTAAATCTAGAGCAAGCGCATAAGCGGTGGTCTAATCAATCTAAACACTTCACAAAGCACCTATGCTAATCACCTAATGAATCACTAAGCACTATGCAAGTGGAGAATACTAAAATGGTGTATCAACACCTTTGGTATGTTTCCTCAGCTTTCCACTCCTCAAATGGTCGGTTGGAGGTGTATTTATAAGCCCCACAGAGAAAGTAGTCGTTGGGAGCGAAACTCAGCTTTCTGCTACTGACCGGACGCTACTGTCGTCCTGATCAGATGCGTCCAGTCGTCCCGACCGTTGAGCGCGCGCGTAGAGATCGGACGCACTGTTGAGTCTGGTCATCATCGACCGGACGCGTCTGGTCGCATTTGCGCCACTCTAGAACTTTTCTGGATATGATCGGACGCTGCACTTTGTGCGTCCAATCATCCAGTGCCGCTATGTCCGGTCCTCACTGAGTTGTTGCCGCGACGATGAACAAAGAAGTCCGTGCGTCCGGTCACTGCCTCGCTCAGCGTCCGGTCGCTGCTGCTGACGCCTGCTGTTGCTGAGCAACTGATCGAACGCGTCCGGTCCTCATAGGGCCGCGTCCGGTCACCTCTGCCGAGCTCGTTTCTTCGTGATCTTGCATTCGGCTTGGTTCCTATCTTCGTGCTTGGACTTTGCTTGATATCTTGGGTCTTCTCTTGTGCTTCTAGGGTCTTGCTTATGGTGTTGATCGTGGGATCATCATGTCGCATTCGTCCAAGTCACGTCTTGCACCCTATTGAACTACAAAATAATTACTTGCAAATTCATTAGTCCAATTTGGTTGTGTTGGTCATCAAACACCAAAATCCAAAGTAAATGGGCCTAGGGTCCATTTTCCTTACATGCAATTCTTGCAGCAACACGCGGAGCATTCTTCTGGTTACTTATTGATCGAAAGTATTACACGCCAGAAAGCCAAAGAGCTACCTACTCCTTACATGGTGGCCTTTAGCCATTCCAACCCTAAGATAAGTATAATAATCATATTTCATCTTTTTCGCCCTTCACACTCGGCTAGAGGGTGGGATTCATTCATCCAATTGATGAGAAAAAGAACAGGCCAAAACCCCGTCAGATCATCAACTTGACAGTCATAATTAAGAATGTGAAGAGATGGACACCCTATTTTTTTATGTGAAGGAGTTCCGTCAGCTATTGCTTGTGGTCTATGTACCTGATTTCTTCCATGTATAATTGCAATCTTACTATTTTTCAAATGCTAGTGAACTTCACTTCTTATAATAGTCAATTACATAATGGGAACACACTTGAAACCATACACGACTAATACACTATTTCTTTTCGTGTCCTAAAGAACTTCAATTAAACGAGCTCTACTAGGAACCCACACATGGCGTGGTTTAGAAATTGGTAAAGGCAACTTGAATTTTCTTGGTAAAAATATATACTTTTATTTTCAAAAGATATTGGTGAACTACATGATTTAGTAGAAAATGGATTTGGTAAGTGATTGTAGTAGCACGATTTGTGGTTTCTCGTTCTATCAATTTCGGTTAATTATCAGAGAAAATTAGTTCCTTGGCCCTAAAAAGTTATGTTTCCTTTCTTGGCCCTTTTTTTTAACTTCCCTATTTGGCCCCAAAATGAAATTTGTTTCCTTTCTTGGCCCTTCCGTCTAGTCTGTTTGTCTCTGTCGTGAACCAGCCCTTTGGAGCAACGCGAGAAGACCGAAATGCCCTTACCTGTTCGTATTTCTGCACGCGTCGAAGCGTAGCCACTCGCAGTCGTGATATAGGCGGACAAACCCTAGCCGGTGGTCGGGCCAGCGCCGGATCTACCTCGGGCCCGCCATAGCATGGCGGCCCGGCTGGTCGCGAGCGTCCGAGTCACCCGTGTAGGCCTGGGCGCCGCCGCCTCGGGGCTGGCCGCCGTGAGCCAGGGTGCCGAGCAGGGCCTGGATCGCCGGTCGCGCTAGTCTGGGCGCCACCTCGGGGGTGGCCACCGGCCGCGCAGTCCTGGACACCTCCTCAGGTGTGGCCGGTGCCGCGAGCCAAGAGTCCACCACAGGGATGGCTGCCGCTGCAGCCTAGACGTCTGAGGCAGCTACTGGCCAAGCTTCGCATGTGATTGACAGAGACGATGACTAAAGTGATTTGCTCGGAGGGTGAGTCTAACATAGTCGTTTTTATTTCCATCACCTATAAATTTGCATGGCTGTGAATATGACGTCTTCCTTGTGTGAACAGGTTGGAATCTAGTCAAAACTCGGAAGCAACTAACAAAAAGAGAAATAGGGATGATTGTACTCCAGAAGCATATAGAAGATAATTGACACTAGTGCTGAAAATTTGTGTTACTATTAATGGCAACTTGGTTAGGAAACTAAATAGATGCTCTCTATCATCACAACCAAAGCTTAGAGATTTCAAGTAAGACTAAGGGAAAACATGGTAAATCTAAATCTAGACCATCAAAAAGGTATTTTCCTAATTTTGAATTTTTTCCATTCGACTATTCTATATTAAACTAACACCATTTGTTGCTAAAAATGAACGTTTGTAGGTCAAGAAGAGGCTCAAATCAGGAGCAAGGGCTAGGTACAAAGCATAATGTGTCACTTGACAGCCCCTCCATGGGTGCTAGAAGCAAAAAGAACACAACCACCTAGCCCCGCAACGAGTACAAGAAGCAAAAGAAGATTTAGCCTTTGATTTTCGATATGCATGTTCTCATATGTGATGCCATGCTTGGTTAATGTGAGCCAACGTATGTGAATTTATTTGTGAACTTAGACATCTCATTTACATATGCGTGCACCTTGTTCATATATGACCTGAACCTACTTAATGCTCCATCCATTGATTTGTCATCATTGTGTATGTGCGCACTTGAATTGCAGTTGTTGATTTTATATGCATTTCAAATGGTCAGTGTGATGTATGTCATGTGCAAATATAAAAAATAATGATTCCATGCTTGAAAATATATTATACCTTATTTTAGAAAATTATTGATAGTAGGCAGCATGAAAGACCTTTATGACTCTACTGTTGCACACGAGGTTGCGCCTGATGTACTATTGCCTTCGACACCAGAGGTAAAAGGGTAATTTTGCGTACAAATTAACATCGTTAGAGCCTCAAACTAATAGAAGGGCCAAGAAAGGAAACAAATTTCGTTTGGGCCAATAGGGAAGTTCAGAAAAAATATCCAAGAAAGGAAATACAACTTCTTTAGGGCCAAGGAACTAAGTTTCTCTAATTATTATGTCCACCCTTACTAAATAATAGATGTTGGGCCATCCCATCCCATCCCAGCCCAAACTTCTGAGTGGACCAACAGTTTGTATAAATATGGCTCAAAATGGCCCAATACCCCTTGGGCTTTAGGCTGACGTGACCAATCCACACACTCCCTCCGGGCTCCGGCCGCCTCCACGGGTTCTCCATGGAGCGGCTCAAATCGGCGGTGCCGACCGAACTCCGGCGGGCCGTCGGCGAGGGCACGGCTGCCGACCTCCCCGCCACCACCTCTCGCCTGTTCGCCTTCTTCGACAGCCTTCCTCTCTTCCACCAGGTAACCACCGCCTACCCTCCCCTTTCGATGCCCCTCTACCCCAGGAGGCCTGAGTTTAGCTGATAGGTCGCTGGTCTGAATGGATGTTTCCAACTGCAAGGTTATGCAAGAGCTGACCGACCCCGAACTTGCGCTGTGCCGCAAAGACAAGGTGAAGGCTGTAGAATTGAAGGGCCATGGCAATGCGTGCTTCTCAAGGAGGGAGTTTGGGGAAGCTCTCGGGTACTATTCGCAGGTTTGCGTCCACCTACTTATTTGGAACATGCGGATTGCATTTTCACTTTGGTTGGTCGAAATTATATAACGGCTGTAAACTTGATTGATATTATAAGAGTTAGGTGGCTCTTAAATTGAACATGTTTGTTTGTTACTGTGCCAATAAAGCATATCAACGGGACAGTTAAAAGAATTACAGAAAGAAACGGTAAATATCTGCTACATTGGAATTGGATGGTGGGCTTAAATGAGTGTAATGTTTCAGTTTTTCACACCAAATATACAATCTTTTGGATGTAACACTTCAAAAGCAGATGTCTCTGTAGCTATGATTACATTCCTAGGTGAAGCCATGACTGTTTGAAAGGAGGTGCTTTATGCTTACGTTTTAGCTAGATCGGTGCTATAACATTCGAATTTAACTTCCCAACTGTTCTTAGACTCCTGAAAATACATGAATTGCTTAGACATTCATGGGCTCAGGGGGTGCTGCAGCATGGACAGCACCTGCCCTGGCTCCGCCCCTGACTACATTTTTCACTTGTTGTAACACTAAAGTTAAGCAGCTACATCTGCAGCCATCCTATAATTGAAGTTTGTGGGCAGCTACCAAGTTCAGAAGAAATTGTATTTTTCACCATTGAAGTTTGTGGTTAGTTAGATTGTTAAAATAGTGGCAAATTTACACAACCGATCCCCATACATCCATTTGTAATGGTAATTTTTCTGTGGCTGATTGATGAATATTCTATCATGATAATAACAGATTGTTTGAATTATATCTTGCAGGCATTGCGGCATGTCCCCATTAATTCAGATGGCATGGATGTGAAGTTGGTATCTGCAATATATGTCAATCGAGCCTCCACCATGCATGTTAGTCTTCCGTTTACTTGCTTGCAGAATATGAACAGTGGACAAATTTGTGCCCTTTTAGTACTGAGTTTGATAAGTATTTGAGTCTATTAGGCTGAAAATAGGATGTGAAGATATACTTGTGGCAGGTGGATAGCAGAACAAGTCTATACCCACAGTTCCACAAAGCTTTAGAGACAGTTGGTCAAGATCTGTGAAAAATATTGAAAAGCTTGGAGTGGATGTACTAAATGTGTTTTCTGCTACTATTTATTTCTATCACTGAAAATAATACTACTTTGTACTTTTGGCTGAAGAGTTTCTGTATTCTAATCATTCTTCTCAACTATGCAGAAATTAGGTCTGTTCAAAGAATCTATAAGGGATTGTGACAGGGCCATAACCATATCACCTAATTATTCTAAGGCATGACATTGCTGTTTCACATAATTATACTGAGGTCTCTGTTTTGGAGAATTCAAGCAAAAGCATGGAGGCTACTCTTTTCATTTCGCCTGTTTCTGCATTTCAGGCATGGTACAGGAAGGGAATGGTAAAAACAGCGCTTAAGAATTATTCATCTGCAGTACATGATTTAGAGGTTGCATTGAGCCTGGAAGTGACTTCTTCAGGGAAGAATAACATAGAACAAGAGCTAAAGTTGATTTTGCAAAAGCATGAAAGTGTCAATGAAGCCGGGACATCAAACTGTGATAGCAAGGATGAAGATTTGCCTCTTGCAGGTTAGAATTTCTTATGTGCAGTCCATACTACTTTCTTCTGTTGGATGCGTACTTAGTGACAGATATTGTTTGACTAACTGACAGGACAACCTCAACCTCATAAGGTTGTTATAGAGAGTATCTCAACACCAAACAAAGGTAGAGGAATGGCTTCTACAGATGATATCCCCCCAGCTTCGTTGATTCACGTCGAGGATCCTCTTGCCGCGGTATTAATTAAGACCCATCTCTGTTGATGCCAAATGACACTTCTCCGTCTTCCTATAGTATGTATCACTGAAGCCACAACAATTTGCATATATGAATGGCCCTAAATATTTGTTAATGTGCATACGAGATTGCTTTTTGAGGTCTGGTGTTTATGTCATGTCTATGAACCTGTTTTTCCTCAGATGAATAATTATTGCTTCTGATTTCAGTTTCCTCATAAGCATGAACTGAAGGTTTGTGTGCTTCTTACTTGCAACAGTTGAATGCAGATTATCATGAAATCTTCCCGTGAAATACACTGCCACTTTTGCTCGAGTGAAACTCCAGCAGATGTTGTGTTCTGTCCTTCGTGTACAATACCAATTTACTGTTCAAAAAGGTGCCAGGAGCAATCCGTAGGTGATATTTCTTGTGATGAAGATACTCATCTTGGATATTCAACAAGTATTGCAAACCTGAGTATAACTTCTACTAGTTGCAAGTCTCCAAGATCTAAGCTATTTGCTGAACATAAGCATGAATGTGGAGGTGCCCATTGGGCAGCTGTTTTACCAACTGATGTAGTTTTAGCTGGACGAATAATGGCACGCATCATAGAAAAAATGATGCTATCTGGAAAGAGTTTTGCTATCTCCGGCCCAAATTTGGTAAAGTACCTCGTTTCTAAATTAGGTTGACATTCTCTTATGCTGTTAGCACTCAAATGTTATGGCATAGATGATATCATATCAGGAATTAATGAGCTAAGTTGGCTATTGCAGGATCTAGTTCACCATTATGATCAACATTCTCCTGCCAACAAGTTGGAATCACATATATATGCAATTGTCCTATTGTTTTGCCTCCAAAATCATTATAGATCAGACCTTTTGTGGACAGAAGATTCTTTATCACAGGTATATATGACATTTATCTTCAGAGATTATCGTTCTAATATACCAGGTTAATGAGTATGGTCTGAAATCTAAAATTGATGGCATTTTCTGTTCCAGGTTTTTGAATTATTATATAAATTTGTCACAATGCTAACTGTTATCAAATGTCTTGATCCATACTGTTTTGATGGAGATAACCAGTCCTCCTTGGGGATTGCCAGTTTCATATTCCTCAGTAACCTTAATCTCATCTCAACAATACCAGTATTTATTGAACTTCCTTCTGTGTAGTCGTCTTTAGCACATTTTTTTATTGGTTTTGATACCTGGAAAGCCATTTTTTTACATGCAAGAATTTGTGTCATTCCATTTTAAAAAAAAGTGGTACAGAACGAAATGGTCTTTGACTTGCAAACTAAGTAAACACATCAAACCAAACAAAATATGGAAGAAAAGCAGAATCAATGAGGATTACTGTTATATAGTCAATCTTCAACGACTGTAAATAGCCTTTAGATCACTAGCCATCCCACAATGCAAATCTGCAACTGTGTCTAGCGTCTTATCTAAAGCCCACTGATTGCCCTCATGCCAGTCAGACAAGAATCAGGCAAGCTTGGAACTCAAGCTTCAGTCAGATACCCCTAAGGTACTTGGGTTCAAGGATGTTCTTATCTATACCATGGTTTTGTTTCTCGTTACTATGGTTTCCTATATACTGCAATTCCCTACAAACTTTTTCCCTGAGGTATACAAAACTTATAGAGTATCACATTCACATTTTATTTTGGGAAAGATGAAACTCATGTGTTGATTATCCTCTACAGCTGGTTCTTTTGACATTTCAAATTAAAGTCAATTCAATTTCTGTTGTCCGAGTGAGGTCGGTGGATGGAAGCCCAGAGCTCACAGAAAATAGAGGTGTTTCTGGAGCTGAAGGTGCAAACATGTGTAGTGTGGAGCAGGTCTGTCTTTTTATACTATCTGTAATTTTTTCTGGGACTGGGAGCAATCTATCATCCAGCTATTAAAGCTGCAAAAGGTCGTTTGGTTCCTGTTGTCAATCATTGTGCTTTATCTCACGCTGATAGAACACAATTCCAACCCAGAAGCTCAAAAGTGGATTAGATTAAAAACAAACGGACAAAGAGGAATTCAAGGTCATTAAAATTTTTTTGTATCAATTATCAAGTAACTATAATCACAGTATATGAGGGTGGTTTATTGGCATAAAGGTGCCTCACTATAAATTGTGGTCTTGTGCTCTGTAACCTTTATCTTATGTTTTGTTTGCTCACTGTTAGGTTAGGGTTGCTCAAGCTGTTTATGTATCTGGTAGCCTGTTCAATCACTCATGTCAGCCCAATGTACATGCATATTTTCTTTCACGTGCGCTCGTGCTGAGAACTACAGAATTTATAAAATCCGGGAGCCCAGTTGAACTGTCATATGGTCCACAGGTTTCACTGACTCCCCCCAGTTTCCTCCATCTCTCACTGGAGCAGAGATGAATGCCTTATGCTTTGAACTTTTCATGCTTCTGATTTCTAGGTTGGTGAGATGATGCCTTTCAGAGAGACAGAAGTCACTTCAAGAGAATTACTACTTCAGCTGTCAATGCTCAAGTTGCTCAGAACTAAATCTATCAGACCTTGTTATGAATTCATTTTGTTGTCCACGAAGCAACTGCCTTGGTGCCATATCAGAATCAACTTACTACAGGTCCAAAGAGAATTTTGTGAATGTTTCCCTAGGAGGATCTTATGTCTGCAAACTATCATTGCCTGTACGGTTATTTTCGTATACTATGGTTTTTTAAGTATCTTCTCATTTACTCCTCTAGTCACAAATAAGTGGCCTTTTAGACTTTGATTGACATGGTCTTCAGAACACAACTTTGAATACTACTTTTGTTACAGAATATTTATGAATCAAAGCAAATTTGTTTACTTATATGACACTATATTTCATGACACCTGACAAATCTACTCGTGTTATTTTTAAATATCCAAACTCAACACATAAAAAGAAATATCCAATCAAAATTTTGAATGGTTGACTCAAGATAACTTCAAAACATCACTTGTGACTGGAGGGAGTACTTAATGATGATGGATCACAGATGACATGATGATGGGTTTCTTTTTGTTTAGGATGTCTCAAAGATTGATAAGGATATGGAGAATGTCGCCAAATCTCTTTTAGGAAATATTGGTGTCAGTCTGAACATAGATCATGGATGTTGCATGAGTTGTAGATCCCATATTGATGTGTCGTCTGCTCTGGCTACATCACAAAGGGAAGAATCTACTATAGATAGGTATATTCTTCACAGTTGCATATGAAACTTCAAATTTGATTACCTCGACTTCTTGAGTTCTTCTAGGAATTGTAAATTTGGGGTTTCATCCATACCAGGAATTGTGATAACAACTGCACTTGACAGGTTGAAGAAACTTACATTGTTAGACAAGACTCTCATCACAGAGGCATTACAATCCCTAAATCTACTCAAGAAGTTGAGGCACCCATATAGCAAGGCTCTTGCGCAGGTGAGGTTGCTCATTTGTCTTTGTTCAAATTCGGTATCCAAGTCCACTTGCACTTGTGTACAACTGTACACATAAGTCGTGTTCTTATGAACATGTGGAAGTATGTAGGCCGAAGACACAATTGCAGAGGCCTTTGCGAAGGTAGGAGACCAAGAACGAGCAAGAAAGCACTGTGAAGCATCAATTCAGGTAACCTGTTTTTCCTTATCCTCAATTGCCACTCAGGATATTTACTTGTCTGAGGCCTGCTGAGTCTTTGCAACATCTTTATGCAAAAGGAGAGGTGTATATGCTATTGCATGGTTCTGAAGAAGTGACCCCTGTGATGTTGCAGATCCTCCAGAGGCTGTATCACCCCCAAACACATCATCATTGCGCACGAGCTTATCAAGCTTGTTTCGATTCTGCTGTCCCTGGGTGATGGGGCAAGCGCCGCAGCCACATTCGCTCAAGCAGAGGAAATATTTTCGCTTTACTACGGATCTCATGTGGAGAAGACTTTGACATACATGGGTGCCCTGAAGAAAGCTGTCAGCGACGCGTAGCACGCTGACAATCCACATGCGGAAATGGCCAGCACGGTTCTGTGGAATTACCTCACCTTTTGCGCTCCTTCGCTAATCAAGAATTATGTGACTCTTACCGAGGAGAGTTTTATTCTCGGGAAAAAATATATTTACAAATCAGTGTAATATTGCTTGGTGCAGCGTGCAGTTTAGTTTGTTTCTGGACAGGCGGGAAACTATAAAACACAAACTAGCTCAACCCATTTCCTGGCTAATGAGTTTGGGGAATTTTCTGAGTGTTTATGTTAACGACTTGTTTCTGAATTTTATTTCCTATATACTCATTGCCTTAAAAAATAATTTTATTGACTCCTGATACTGGTGCGAAATACTCGAGGTCTCCCAGAAGCGTGGGTGTGGTGGATCTGGGGCTGCTTCGGCATATGTTCATTTGCATCGTCACCCCCATCGTCTTGAAATGTAAGAGATTTTTAGATGTATTAAGCAAACCATCCTAAATCTAACCTAACTTTATTCAATAAACAATTAGTACGATATCAAATGAGCTTTGTTAGATAAATTATAGAATGTATCTTTATAATTTACCTCTTTTTTTTTATTCAAGGTGCTTTCTATTACTCATCCGTCCCAGCTAAATCGCTGGTGACCATTGCCTCAATCTCATGAGGTACACCCTCCCAAGTGGCCTTATGTCCACCGGGAAACTTACAACCATGAGCAGCTAAAGCATCAGCCACTCCATTACATACGCGATTACAAACACTGATCTTACAAGAACTCAGTATCTAGCAAGTGTTTCATCTCCGTGATGATGCCTCCTACCTCTTAGATGTAAATGTTAATAATCTCCTCTGCAGACCGGTCAAAACTACTCTTTTCATAATTCACCTTTGTGAGCGAGTTGGTGGGCTCCGCGTACAGCGACATTGACGAGTCAAGTACGTACTGTCTCCATTCCATATTATTTTCTATTGTTTTAAAAAAGACGTAGTGCATATGATGTCTTTGACTAACTGTACAAGGCCAAAATGACTCTTATTACGAACGGAGGTAGTATGATGGGCACATAGGTCCGTTGGCAAAATAATGAATAACAGAGGTTATTAATTACAGGGCCGTAAGACAAGCTATTCACATATTGGAGGTACTTTCTTTGTCAGAGTTCCACGAGATCATCCATCCAAACACATGCAAAATCTATGTCATTAATTCGTATAGCTCGTTCGGGAAGAGAAGACTGATGTGTGACATGTGTCAATCATCTAACTTCGTTAGTTGTTTGCGTCTAGCTTACTCTCAACCTCGTCGATGATCTCGAGTTCCCCCAAGAAAGCAGCGAGTTTCCTCGTATCCTCGTCTTGCTTCCTCTGCGGAGCCTTCTTGCGGTAGCCCGAAGCATTCATTTTCTGCGACAAGGTGTCGTGTTGCCTGCATTTCGGTTATAGAAAAAAAGACCACTGAATACACACTGGAATTGCTAAACTAGTTCGATACAGAGATGGTTGAACAGGGAAGAGGAAGACACATTGTGACCACACTTGCCTTTGGATATCCTCCCTCTTTCTCCTTAGTTTCTCGCGCTCGGCTTCAGTGTTCAGAGCTCCCCGAAGCTGGAGATACACGGATAGATCCTTGTTTACGATATGTGTGGCACAGTGAGGTGGAGTCAGATCATCCTCTGTCAGGATCTGGTAGATTACCGTTTGGATCAGTGCCCATGTTGTTCCAGTGCAGTTAACTTTGACAGATTAGTAAAATAAATATTGGAAGCATAAAAATGGATAATTCATCAAACCTTCAGAGATGATACAGATGTAAGCGTTGTAATTTGTGAATGGTAGCGCTGAATGGTTGCTACAGTCTCGAAGCTTGGGCAGAGCACAAATGCAGGACGTCTGTTCAGGTGCACACAGGAAATGTGGAATTAGATTCAAATGAACTAATTATCATGAATCAGAATAATCTATTGAAATGACAGTAACAATACGCATCATTCCTCGCAGAATGCTCACACAAAGAGCACATTTCATTAACACAAACAAACCTTTCATATGTATCTGTAGATGGCCGAAGTGATCGTAGCTTGTTCACGGTATCTAACACAATCTCCATTTCATTCTCAATATGATCATTTGTCCATTTCTGTCAATAAAAAAGGTCTCCTGGAGTGAAATAGGGGTTACAAAGTTGTATTGCAGGATGTGGAGTTATCCAATCTCTCAAACTGGGGTAGATATGCCTTGTCAATTCTGTTCGTGTCTATATGTATATTCATTCACTTCAATACTGCTTTGTTTTTATTATGCATCTAAACATAGTGTATATCTAAGTGCATAGCAAAAGCGACGTATCTAGAAAAGGCAAAGCATCTTATAATTTGGAATGTAGGGGGTATCAATTTTTTTTCCACCACGCCAAACTCCCACGCCACAGTAGCAACACTCCGGGAAAAATCCCCAAGAGCTGAAGCAACTCCTGCGCCTGTATTTGAAATGCCCGTGTGTACTGCACTCTGGGAGAAGTAGCAACTTACTGTACAAATGAGGGGTATTCTGATATCATAATGGAATCTTTCCTCCAAGCCTCTTTAGGCTGAGGAAGACGCTGCCAAAGCTCCTCAGTTATGTAAGGAATGAATGGATGTAGCAGGCGCAAACCAATCTCCAAGCATACCCATAGCGTATCTCTAGAAGCACTTCTTGCAGATTCAAACTCTTCAGATTCATTGAAATAAGGTTTTATTGCTTCAAAAAATACATCGCAAAGCTGGTACTGCCACCACGAGTATATAGAGGATGTAGCCTCAGAGAATTTATATGCTTCTAATGATGTCACAGTCTTGCCAATAGCCTTGTTAAGTACTGAGAGTATCCATTTGCAGACTGGTGGCAAAGAACACACATCAACAGTTGCTGGTGGCCTGTACTGCTCTCCAAGCTTGTTCATTGCAAGACGAATGGCATTCCACAGCTTATTGCACCACTGTCGATACCCATGCACCCTTTTGATATCCAGGTTTATCTTGTCAGACTGCAATACAACATATTTTACTACAAGAAGTTTGGCAAAGACAACACAAAGAAAATAAAATGAATTGGAGTTACATATAACCTGAGAAGTATAGGAAATCAGCGCAAAGCGAAGGGCATCGGTACCACACTCTGGAATTCCGTCAGGAAAATCCTTCCTCTGGCCATCTTTTGCCTTCTCTAACTCTTTTGGATCCAGATTGCCATTTTCCAACTTTTTCTGAAGATTTTCCATCGATATGCCATTTATTACATCAGTGGGATCGATGACATTTCCCAGTGACTTGGCCATTTTACGGCCATGCGCATCACGGACAATGGGATGCAAGTAAACCTGATAAATAAACACAAAAGACAGTCATTAATACAGGTTTCATCTTCTACTTGTAAGGCATCATTTCTACTATGTGCGTAAAATGGAGTTTCTGATGGTCACTAGGGAATTGGTTTTCTTCACATTCAGCATAACTAAAACTATTGCAGTTGAGTTAGACCCAGAAATCATGTTAGATTTTAGGTGATTATGTAAACTGCACTAGTTTCAAGTAGATGTTGTGACATATGGTGCAGAAGTACATCAATTGGTGCAAGGGATTTACATGGAAGAAATGATTTAAAGTGATTAACGCTAGTTAGAATGTTCTCTAACAGGCCAAATTGATGGAGGTTTAAATAGCTCAAGCATCAGACATGGGTGAATTATTAAATATTATTGATTTCTAACCTTTAACAAATTATTTTTTTTTCTAGAATGCGCAGGAGAGCTGCGCATCTTTTATATTAGAGAGAGAAAAAAGAGGGGGGGGTTGTAAAGAGGCCCATATAAAGCAACCACTTCAATGTCCTGTAGGATGCCGAAGAAGGTTGCAAAACAAAAAAAAACTAGGACTAGTCGCCGATAACAAAAAAACAAACCAACCCCTCTACCCTACCCATGACCAGCTCCTGGAGTTTTGTCCCTCTAGCCAAGCACCAGAGCCTTGCGTCATCTATGAAGAAATGAAGGGCCAACGACGAGGAAGGAGAGGCCCTATCAAAGACTCCTTGTTCCTAAAGTTTTGTCCATACCCCCAGGATCAATGTTAAAAGGCTGTTACGCTGGTCTACAGTCTACATGGAAGTGGAATTGACAGAGCAAGAATTTGGCACGGCTGCAATTGACAAAACATTGGCACTGCAGTTTTGTCACAATACTTACGTTCTGAAATGGAACATCCCCGCCGAGTTGCATTCCCATCATCACCATCCGTGCTACCCAAAAGAATAGGATATCCGATCCAGTTTCAAGGACAGAACCAGGGTAGAAAGTACTAAGATCAGGTTTATCGTCTGGCCAACCAAGTACACTTATTGGGAAGAGGCCCGATGAAAACCATGTGTCCAATACATCAGGACCTTGATCTAACTGATATTTCTTTGCTGGATACCTCTGCTTTGCCTCCAAGATTGCATCATTTTCATTCCTTGCAATAATCCAGTGGTCACTATAACTACCCATATCTTTCTCTGTCATCTTCTAGTGTTACATACCAAAGTTGTCTTGAAATACACCAATCACGTATGTTTTCTAGCCATCTGCAACACCGATCACGTATGTGGTATTGATCATTGTTCTATCAATTCTGTAATCCAGGAGGTGAACACGATGCATAAACTGACCATAAAAAAGGATTCATGCCTGAAGGCAAAAAAAAGTGTTTACCTATACCAGTCTTGCTCATATTGTGGTGGAATGATCTCAATCTTTTTGGATTTGACAGCATCAAGAGCTACCTTTACCATAGAGTTACAACTAACAAACAACTGGGGCCTCATCATTGGCTCCACAACATCTTTAGATCTTGAACAAAGACTCAAGCTTGTCACGGTATTCTTTGTGCCTTGGTACAGATCCTTGAATGACAAGTGCAAACTGTTTACAATTTTGCAATTACAATAGCAATAAAATACAGGAAAAGATGGATAATAACAGCAAGATGAACAAACAGGCAAAAGTTTCAATAAAAATTGGAAAACAAATATCAGTAATCTTCAAACAGATGTCATATAGTATTAATAAACAGGTTTTTCCCACAGCGAACAGAAAAAGCTGAGGCAGGTCAAAAGCTTTAATGGAGTTACACTACTAAATATTATAGCTGGAGTGGAAAATATTTTGTCAAACAAGGAGTGGAAAAGATAAAGCCAATTGAAGAAATAAAACATGTTGGTAACAAGCAACATTCAAGTACTGGTGCACCCATTTAACAATTAAGTTTACTCTTTGTAACAATTGCTAAGCTTCAGGTTCAACCAAATCAAATTATGTGCACAATTACTCTATATATTATTGGTACAACAATCAAACAGTAAATGGCGTACCCAGTGCAGAGAGCTCCCGCTCTGTGCGGGGTCTGGGGAAGGGTGTCAGTGGCAAGCCTTACCCTCGCCTGTGCAATGCGAGGAGACCGCGACTCGAACCCGGGACCTTCCGGTCACAGGCGGTAAGACTCTACCGCTTGCACCAGGCCCGCCCTTCTACAACAATCAAACAGTATTCAACTATATTTTTTTCCCTATTTGATTCAGCTGAATCGTGAATTCTGGGTATACACTCTAAGATGGTTAAGAAACTTAAATAAAAATAAATTCTAGCAAACCATATTGAATTTCTCGATTGAGGTAGAAAAAGAATTAATTATGAATAGCAGCAAAAATAAATCATCTAGCAACACCTTATCCTTCAATGCATCAATAACAGCAGTACGAGCAACAAAACGTGGCATCCCTGAAAATTGTGGGCCTCCCATTTCATTTATGTTCCCATCATCTGTGAAAATATTAATGAACTCAATGTTATGCCGTTCCCCAACCTTGAAGTCATTGGGATCATGAGCTGGTGTAATCTGCAGGATAGCAGTAAACCACAATATATATAAAAAGAGTGGATACTTATAGCAATATTTAAATAGACCAAATAGGAAAAATCAAAATCAAGGTATCCAAAACACCACTATGAACACACCAACCTTGACAGCGCCAGTACCAAAATTAGGATCCACTAACTCCGCATCGCAAATAATTTTGAGTTTTCGGCCATTGAAAGGGTGCAGGGCATATTTTCCATGTAAATGCTTATATCTTTCATCCTGTGGATGAACAGCGATGGCAGTATCGCCAAGCATTGTTTCTATCCGCGTTGTTGCAACTATAATTTCACCAATACCTTCTTCTAGAGGATAGGCAAAACATATCAAAACACCAAACTGCACTGGAGATCTATAACCAGGAACCTCTAACAAAGTCTCTCCTGTAAGATCCTTATGGTCAACCTGAAATAGGTAATAGATACATTATTATATTATACTAGAACATTTGGGTGCTGCAATTATGCAAGGAACCAAACTGTCCGTTCTGTTGGAAATGTGGAAGTCTCATGTACCTCAATATCAGAAATTGCTGTTCGAAGTGCACAATCCCAGTTCACAAGATGATGAGCCCTGCATCAGGGATCAGGGTAGTCCATCCAGAAGACATATATCAATCAAGATGGGAAAATTCCAACATAACACATAATAAAGAAAAAAAAACAACACTTTGTCGATGTAGAACCAAAGATACCACATACAGATTACAGAACTTTCAAGATTATGGAAAACTAACCTATAAATTAGGCCATCCTTATACAGCCTAACAAAAGCCTCAGTCACAGCTTTTGATCTCTGCTCATCCATTGAAAAACACTGAACATAGATTGCAAGGAAATTAGTTCAAACAAAACAAAATAGTATTCCATACATAAATGTAGAGTTTTCCCAAGCTAAACCATTGAGGACAACAAAAAGGAATACCTCACGTGACCAATCAAGTGAGGCCCCAAGCATGCGAAGCTGTTTCAGTATGGTACCACCTTGCTGGTCTTTCCATTTGAGGACCCATGAAACAAACAATTGAAAAAGGGAACTGGGAAATATAAGAATGAACCAGCAACTTATAAGTTATAATATGGATGATATCTAACTTTTTAACAGGTAATTAAGTTAACTGAGCAATGTATATAATGCCAGTACAGAGTTTTGGAATTTTCTGTGTCAGATGGTAGATTGACGTATGCAAATTTTCGTTGCAGTATGGACATCAGTGCACACTGACATGAAATGTAAAACATATTTTGGCATTAAATCCTACTTAAGTGTTTAAACATGGCTATCAATGTGGCAATACACCTTGAACATTAGAATTCTATTGTCACTAGTGAGGTTAAATAGGTTATACTTAAGTAACCAAGCACTTACCTCAGATAAAAAATTCTCACGTCCTACTTCATGCCTTGATAGATTCCTCTCACGCATGAGTTTTTTCTCGACCACCACCTGATGGTGCAAAACAAATAATTTAGCTGATGCAAGCTACCTATAGAGTATTGACAAAGAGATAATCAGCCCACTCCCATACTGTAAAGAAGAGAATTATCAACCATGGGTGGTATTGCAATAACACATAATTTCTCATGTAGAGGAAACATATAGTTGTATCCCAACTACTTATAGGCCACTTTAGCTTTGTCCTAAGTTAAATATCTCTAACTTTGAAAAAGTTTTTAGAAAAAATATATTAAAATATAAAAGTCCAAAAGAATGCACTATTAAATATCTCTAACTTATCAGATGACAGTAAAAGAAATACCTGTGTAGCTATGCCAGCATGGTCCATTCCAGGAACCCATAATGCATTGTAACCTGACATCCTCCGCCAGCGAATCATAGCATCCTGAATTATTCTCAATGCATCAAAATAAAAGGCATGAATGGCGACATCATAACACATAGTGAAGAAATAAAAGGACATTAATCAATAGTCACTACCTCAATAGCTGCTGTGATTGCATGGCCTATGTGAAGCACCCCCGTCACATTAGGGGGTGGCTGGACCTGAACAACGTATAAAACATAGATGTGTCAAATGATTCCTATATTGCACAAAGAAACAAACAACCTCACTGTGTGAAATCAGCTAACTGAACAGCAACATAATGAGTGAAAGCAAATGTTCCTTCTTGATATAACCCTTTGGAAAATGAAGGCACACTTACCATTACAAATGGAGGCTTTGAGCTTGCTGCATCTGCTTCAAAATACCTGGATGCTTCCCACCAGGAATACCATCTACATGATAAAAAGGGAAGTAAAAAACAATTGATCCACATACTTATTACAATGAGTTGCAAAAGCTCTGATGTTAGCATTCACTAAAGTGATAACAAGCAACATACGATTTATCAACGGCGGCTGGGCTATATTGTTTCGCCATCTGAGAAGCCAGCAGTTTTTTTTGTCCAGCAGGGGTATCAGGATCAATGAAATCCTCTGGACTCTCATCGATGGCTCCTCTCTTCCTCTGCTTCTTATCGCTCTTCTTAGCTCGACCTGCATCTGATGCCGCTTGCCCCTACAGACAACCACAGATGAGACAAAGATTAATCAGATCAGTGAACGAAATGGGGCATTAAGTCATTGCCGCCACCTGGAGCCTAGCCGCTTCCTTCTGCTTCGCTTTGACCTTTTTCTCCTCCTTCTCTTTCGCCTGTTCGTCTAATACATTAGTCACAACTGAGGATACACAGCCCACACAACTCTACCAAATTTCCAGTTCCATCATGAACACTACTACAGGAATTATCCAAGTTAGTACCTTCTGATCCTTTTTCAATTTCCGCTCCAATTCCTTCTCATCTAGCGGCTGCAGCCAATACACCAACGGCAACAAACGAATCAGACCGATAAAAATGAAATCAGTTGCAGCATTCACTACGCATCAACTAAACATTGCAGTATGCTTCCACAAACGCAAGCTGAACTCTTATTTTAAACACACACACACACACACACACAATTCGCCAAGAGCATCACGCTCTTATCGCCGAAAGGGCACCAAATTGCCAGCGCAACCGACAGAACAGAGCGGGAGAGGAAGCTCCACCCAAAAACGCTCGCGGTAAACGCGACTAAATTCCCGCACAGCCTGAACAGAGGCATCGCACTCACACGCCAATGGCATTCGAGAATTCAAAGCGGCGTGAGAGGAGGTCGAGTCCGCGGGCGCTCTCACCTTCTCCATGGCGTGGATCGGGCGGCCCCCGCACTCGCCGCCGGCACCTGCGGCGGCGGTTGTCCGGATGGAACTGGACCGCTGGAGCCCCCACGTCCGCGCCGCGGCCTGCTGGGGTTTGTTCCCGGTCCCGGGGTTTAACAGGGCGATCGAGGAAGTCGGAGAAGTGCTCGAGTGGCGGCGCCTGCCGTGTGATCGGTGACCGGGATTTATACGAGGCGGCTTCGTGAGGGGCAAGGGGCCCGCCACAGAAGTTGCGCTCCCAATCCAATGGTGGAATCCAGGGAGTGCTTGACTGGTAATCCGAGTCCTCGCGCGCGAGTGCTTGATCAATCCGAGTCTCATTCCGAGTCCAGCGCCCAGAACTGTGGGCCAGCGTCGTAGCCCACTAACGGAGCTTGATCTTAGACTGCTGGCAGTAGCAGAACAACGAAACTGTATCCTTACCGTGCTCACGTAACAAACAAGAGGAGAGCGTGCGCTCGCTTCCGCACCGTCATCCCCCCAGCGCGCCCCCTCCACCGGGCGTCGCCGCGCTCCGTGTCTAAGAAGGATGCAAAGCAGAAAACAAACAGGAGACACTGAGACGAGACAGCAGAAGGCGAGGAGGGAGACATCCAGATGCAACGTACATACGAAGACAGATAAAATACTTAAAATATGCATTTGAACCCTTGTAAAAACACCTGAAAAAATACTTGATACCATTATAAACATACGCAGCATCTAAATAAAACACTTGCAACATATGTGTGAAACATATGTAACATCCAGATAAACACTCTTGCAATACATTTGAAAAACAGATAAAACGTTGGGAACAAACGTTTGCAACATACGTGTATAATCATTGTAGCATCCCGATCTATTTTTGCAACATCTATATGAAACACTTACAACATAGCTCTGAAACATCTGCAATACTTAAAATATACGTTTGCAACATGTGCTTTCAAGCGTAATATATACTTGCTGCTTACGAAATGGAGGCTCGCCGATGTGTAGAGTTCACCGGAGGCAGCCGTGCCGTCGCCACCAACCAAATCTAATCAATATCGTATTAGAAAAAGTAAATTTGGAGGCGCCTAGCGTTAAACCGGTGGGGTGTCGACCTAAATCCTTGGATTCAGTTCTGAATTTGAACTGAATTAAAAAGGTTCTTGAGTAGTTGTCCCATTTTGTTCCCAACATGGCTGGTGGATTTTGTTGAGACTAATAAAGTCAGTTCAGCATCGTTGTTGCGGAGGGGTCTGTCACCTATCACTAAGAAAGGGAGAAGCAAAAAAAAATGCGATAAATTGAAATTGCTAACATGTTCAAAGCTATCAGAGTGTAAAACAAATAGACCACAACGTTGACATGATCTATTTTTCCTCAAAGAACGCTACTCATTCAGTCCCCAAATATAATTTTATGATCTTTAACAATAACTAGTTTATAATCATATAAGAAGTTTATACCGCAAAAGTGGTTATATTAGCAGTCAATAGAATTTATTACAAATTATATAACACGAGGAAAGATAGCTGGAGGAGAAGCCCAAGCGATGGGTAGTGTCCTAGTGGGATGGATAGGATGATCTGGCCTCACGAACTCACGTAGAAATGTGGTAATGGGGTTTTGCTTTATAAGAGTATAGGATAAGAGAAATTAGCGATCAAAGTTTGATCTTAAAGACTACACCAAGTAAAATCATATCGTTTACTTTAGGATAGATGGAGTATATAGTAGGGCAGTAGGCATAAGGTATTAAGGTCAACATAAACTCTGCCTTAAGAATCGGATGAAAGGTTTTACCTTCGATGATCCAGCTAAACGTGAGAGGCAAGTCCAGTGGCGGCGCCAGGGGTATGCCTGGGTATTCCTTGGAATACCCAAGATTTGAGTGCAAAAAATAAATACATATAATATACATGTATATTCAATTTTCTAATTGGACCAAAAGCCCACAAACGAACTTGTAGCAGCGAGCAGGGCAACCTGGCCAAGGCCCAAGCGGCCAGATTGCTCCTGTCGGCATCTCCCATTCACAAGTCCTGACTCCCGTTCTTCTAAAAAGAAAGTTGGAACTCCCGTCCAACTCCCAAGCGGTGGCGGCGGCGCATCTTGATCGCTGTTGCGGCTGCCGGCGACACATCTCGATCTGCTTCTGCTGCGGTGCCGGGTGGACGGTAACCAGCAGGCAGCAGCACATCGTCGTCGCAACTGCTACTTATGATCAAGGCATTGGTTACACTTGCTACAAAGTTTTATACTAAGCATTTCACAAGTGATGAATTATCAAAACTTCCATGACAGCTTACTGTGTACATTTCTCATATGCGTAGAGATGAAAGATTTAAAAATTTGAAGAACCTATGTGAGCTTTCAGTTAAGCTTGTGGAGACAAAAAAAAACATGAACAATATTATGTTGTTTACAAGCTTCTTAAGTGGTGCTAATTCTTTCCGTAGCCCCTATTAGTGTTGAAAGGGTGCTTTGATTTTTTTTTTTATTTGGCATACCCATCTGCAAATTTCTAGCTCCGCCACTGGGCAAGTCTATTTGGCAGCAAACTTCATCCAAGTTTGTTTGGAAAAAAAAAGCTCCATCTCTCTCTCTCTCTCTTCTTCTTCTTCTTCTTCTTTTTTGAGAAACGCTCCATCTCTAATTAACCCCTCTAATAGAGCGGCCAAATTAAAGTGCGTAAAGCAGCATACGATCCAGTTTCATCTTCAGTTTCTCAGTTGATGATACGGGGTTCACCAGCCCGGCCCAATTGTGCATCTATCTTGATGGTATCTGCTGCTGGCCTGTTGCAAACCAAACAATAAAGACCGCAGCCCGGACACGGAGGATATTCCGAGAAGTTTTGTACAAGACAAAAAAAGTCCCTGGAATCAAAATTTTCCAAAGAGATTTCATCATCTTGTGAAACCACAAAGCCCCCAGTCAGGCGCTAGCTCTGCGAGAGGCGGAGTCTCTGAATTTTTATCCTTTTCCTGTACCGAACATTTTTAGCCACACGTACGTACAGTTCTTCCTTGGTGCCAAACAACCGGCGAGCAGCAATTTGCTACCTGGACCTGCTGCGTCAAGCATCATCTAACGACGCCTGAGAGACCGAGTCACATCACTCGCTCAAAATGGAATAGGATAAGAAGAATGGTACGTATCACTGTACCAGGCATAGTGCCACCGCCCACACCGTCAAGACCCCGTCAGGTCGACGACGACGCCTTCGACCGTGACCCCGTGCTGGCATGCGGCATCCAGCCACCCTCCTTCTGGTTCCAGAGTAAAGTCCGGCGTCTTTTCTGCGTTCGGTGGCGTGGTCGGTTGGCATCGACTTGTCACGGGGCCTTCAGTTCAGTCCTTCACAGCTTGTGTACACACAGCGCCTGCACTGCATGCACGCAAATTCATTCAGACTGAATTCAGAACGAGAGGCATCACAACAGGTGCCCAAACAGAATAATAAAAGGCATAGTTCCTCCAAACGAAAGGAGTGGTATCAATAATCAACCACCCCTTTCGTACGTCTTCTTGAAAGCAGAGTTCTGCGAGGAGGGATTACTAGTCACTTTGTCAACACGAAACTGATACAACGTCTGAATCAGGCCGGCCGCACGTACGCGAACGCACAATATATTGTTTCCTTCAAATCAAAAGATAAGAAAACAAACAGAAAAGACATAAAACTATGGGTTGGCGAAATAGACAGCCTCACCTACTCAGCCAGCAGTGCCAGCCAAAACAGCCCCTCGGCCTACCCGGCTACTCAGCACCAAGAACAGACGGCCAAGTGCACTCGCGCCTTTATATAAAGGAATCCACCAGCAGCATTAGCTTTGGTTTCTTCTCCTTGTATGAACATACCCATCGCAGGGCATTCTCGAGCATAGCGTCTGCCTTTCCCCTCCTCTCCTCCACTCCTTTGTCCAAAGCTTCGAGATGGCTCAGGTATGCAGAATTCTCCCTCCTGATTTGGTTCTTCAGTAGTTCAGTTCCTTCGATTGCTCATACTGTAGCTCTGTGTTGCTTCATCGGTCCGCAGCAGAAGGTGGTGCTCAGGGTTCCAACCATGACAGATGACAAGATCAAGCAGAAGGCCATCGAAGCTATTGCCGACATTTACGGTAACATTTTGCACCCACCCTCTGGTTGACTGTCTTCCTGTTTTCTGGATGATGGATTGTTTTGCTGTTGAGGCTTGGAAAATATGTCCTGCAAAAGAAGGCATTGGATATGGTATTTGCACAAACTAGCATATTGTTTGTTTCATTGTCTGCCCACCATTCAATCTTTAAGGCACACACTTCGAATGATTAGCATGAGTTTTAGACAGAAGCTCGAGAGGAAAAATCATATTAGGTGGAATTCGCTTATCAAACATGCTAACACAAAAAAGATGAGGACCACATAGGACATCCGTGTGTGGTCGGTTTCTTTATGCATGAAAGTTGTTATATATGCTCGGTGCGGGTGAACAGTCGTAGAAGGGGTTGGTATATGTTTCACAAAAAAAAAACTGGGGTTTTCAAACCCAGCACATAAATATTTGAAAAAACATGTAGACTGAAAAAAAAAAACTAAGCAACCTGTCTATTCGATTCTAGTTGCTATCAGGATATTTACTTGTTAGCAGTAAGCGGTTAGAGTTTTACCGCCTGTGATCGGAAGGTCCCGGGTTCGAGTCGTAGTCTCCTCGCATTGCACAAGCGAGGGTAAGGCTTGCCACTGACACCCTTCCCCACACCCCGTACAGAGCGGGAGCTCTCTGCACTGGGTACGCCCAGTAAGTAGTTATAATCTTTGAAAGAATGTTTTCTCAGGCTGGTTTTTCTTCACGCCATATCTTAACATTAACAGTAGTACAACACATAAAATGGAAAATAAATGTACTTCTACAAAGCACTGAACAAGAAGAAAGAACAATGTGTCAGCAAGAAAATTTGATGATACATACATTCTTTCGTGCACAGGTATTGACTCCATAGCAGCGGATCTGAAGGAGAACAAGATGACCATCATAGGCGAGATGGACGCAGTGGCGATTGCCAAGAAGTTAAAGAAGATTGGGAAGATTGACATTGTGTCTGTTGGACCTGCAAAAGAAGAAAAGAAGGAAGAAAAGAAAGAGGAGAAAAAGGAGGAAAAGAAAGAAGAGAAGAAAGAGGAGAAGAAAGAAGAGAAGCAAGAAGAGAAGAAGTGATAAACCTATAAAACATATAATATCATCACATGGCCTCACCTATCTTCAGTTGCAATAGCTTTGACTTTGGACTGATGTTGCTATGTGGACTTACTATGTAATCTTTATACTACAGAGTACATATTAGTTAAAAATAAAAGTACAACCTGTGCATTGCTTTTAGCATCTACGCTCCCTCCTAACCAACTTATGTTCGTAAGCAATTAGATGTTCCCTTCTTTTTGCAGCAAAGTGACAGGAGATCTGTCTTTCAATTAAGGTAGAAAAGAGAGACTAGATGGCTAGATGCTCAATCTAACTAACATTTATCAGGAAACTCAAATATCCTGGCAGACCTGTATCTAAAAAAAATGAATCATATGCATACTCCTTGAAGCAACGGAGGACTGGACAGACTGAATCTTGAAATCTATATGAATAATAATTAATATACTTAAACTGCCACGTTGCACCTATCGCTATCACTTAAAGAAAAGGTAAACTTTTTAACAGGTATGAGTACCAATAAAGCAGTCAAGTGATCAGATGCTGCCAATATCTTAAACAGCACCGGAAAGGGGCAATAATGCATAGACTTCCACCTCTTAGTGCTTAAAGATAATTCACGATGCATTTTACAGGCTTGTCTAATTTCTAACATGTAATCAACAAATCCTATGCTAGGGTTGGCAGAAATGACTTTCTGTGCAGAACCCATACCAGGAAAGGCACAAGTTACTGCAGCGATGTTGCTAACAGTAACAGGTCATGCAACTATCTAGGTATGATTTCTTGAGCATATCTTAGTTGAGGGAGCAATATAAATCTTTTTCATTCTATCAGATCAGAGGACCAGGGAATCAAGATTTATTGATTACTCATGACTAGTGTCCACCACCCTATCTCAAACAAGAACAGCATACAACACTTCTTTTCTGTACTTCATCAACAAACAAAGAATCCCGCAGGACATGTGCTACATCAAGCATAAAAATTATAGTGTAACCACTTCCATAGGATACTCCTTCATAATCCATCTGTCAGAAACGCAAACAGCCAAAAGAAATGAACCTCTTCATCTAACTATGGAGCATCTCATCTCAGCATCTTCTAAACCCTCCAAACCTTGACAGCAGATGAAGATAATGACCCTTATCTGTCATGTACTTAATGACATTATTAGCTTGAGTATCCTTCTCAGCACTCCGCAGTCTACTTACTAGACTACTGTACACAGAGAAGTTTGGTGTGCATCCATGTGAGTCCATGTCCTTCAGCATAGCGAATGCTTTATCAAACTCCCCTAATGTGCAAAGCCCCCGTATCATTGAATTGTATGTGTACACATTTGGAAGCTGCCCTCTCACCAGCATATCATCAAAAAACCTCTGGGCTTCCTCAAATTCCCCGGCTGCCACATAGCTTGAGATCATAACAGTATAGCAGACATCATCTGGGTCACACCCTTTCTTGATCATCTCATCAAAGAAATACTTGCAAGCTTCTAGGTTGCCAGCACGGCCAAGACCATCTAACAAATTTGTGAAATGGAGCACATTTGGCACACACCCAACATCACTCATATAGTTCAGCAAATTGAGAGCTGCGAGGGCTTGTCTCCCCTACCAAGCACATGAAGCAACAGATTGTAAGTATGGAGGTCCGGCGTAAGCCCATTTTTTCCCATCTCATCAAGTAACCGATGGAATTGATCCAACTTCCCGAGCATATACTTTGCATGCATCACCACATTGTATGTCAAGACATCAGGTGAGTACCCCTCAAGGATCATTTTCTCGTGAACCCACTCAATCAGCGAGTACTGCTCTATGGTCAGAAGTGTGTGCAATATTGCATTAATCGCATTTCTGAATGGGCGGTAGTTGAAAGTACTCGACTTGATGAACCTCTCCACCAGCCTCCGCCTCAACCCAACCTTCCCAGATGCACATATCAAGAGGTGGAACGTCCAGGAAAAGACAGGCAGCCCCTTGTCCGTCATCTCCTCAAACAGCCGCCACATCGCCTTCACCTCCCCACACTCGGCGAAAACCTTCATGACGAGGTTGTACATGCTCGTGCCGTGTTGGTACCCTTCCTGCTGCCCCGCCCATATGAAGAACTTATACGCCAGCTTCGGGTACCTCGGGCCGTCCTGCAGCAGGATCCTAAAGATCCTGTCCGCCTCCAGCCTCACATCCTCAAAGAACCTCCTCCTGGAATTGTGACCAGGGGGAAAAGTTTCGCCGTCATCGTCATCGCTCTCCGTCTGGCCTCGGGGCGGCGGCAGCCGGAGGAGTACTTCCCGTGGGAAGCGACAGGCGTTCAGGCCTGCCACTTCCTCCCCTCCCTCACGGACTCCGTCACCATTGCGCTGTACAGTGTCTGGAGGACTCTCACCGCGGTTTCTGGAACCGTCGCTGCAGAGACGCCGCGACGGGCAGAGCCGGGCCGAGATCGCCCGGGGTGCTCGGAGCGGAGGTAGGTGAGCGCCCGTGATCGTAGAGTACTCAAGCACATGGCGAGTGAGTGGCTCCGCGGGAAGGTGATGGGCTGATGGCGCCGAGCTATGGTTCGAAGGGTGGGAAGGTGATGGCCTGCTGCCGCCGTGCGCTCAATTCCGCCACGAAATGAACTCGTGCCAGGGCAGAATCTTTGTTGCCTGCTTATTGGGCTTCTATGGATATGACACATGTTGCTGTTGGGCCTCAATCTGGCCTTAGAAACATCCGCAGATTAGCTACGACCCGCTCTTTCGTTTAGTTCAAAAACGTCCAATTTATCTCCTTCAATTGTAACGGTCATTCAATTTTCCTCCCTAATCAACAAAACCAGTTTTTTTAAACCCCCTTCAGCTTTTGAAAACTAGCTTCATTTTTTTTTCTCTAAAGTCATGTTCTATGTTACGGCTAGTGCCTAGCTTAAAATTGTTTGAATATTGATAGACTTATTTTAGCGATTATTTGCTAGTAGAAGCTCTCATTATCTATTATAATTAGTCAACATTGTTCGTTTGAACTACATTGAACCATTAGTGAAGCATCGTCAGAATTGTAGTAGGCATTGATCCCTTTGCCCTAAATAGATTTTCAAAGTACTTGTGTTAGTCTGAGTGGCTGCATGCAACCCCCACACACACACACACGCACACACGCACACACACATGTGTGTGTTCTTGTTGTCTATTAGAACTAGTCTACATTAACGACCAAATGACTTTAATGACAACACAAGTGCCATGTATCCACATCATACTTAATAGTATCTAGTATGAACATATATTGTTCGTGACACCTGATTGTATCTATACAAACATCGTGCCCAGTGTGCTACCATCTAGATTCCCTGCCATGTTACGCTTGAGGGCTAGGGACTAGCGTCCACTATGGCCTTGACAACGCTTCACTGACGCTTCTACGTAGTCCGGATGATTAACATCGACTAATATAATAGATAACGAGAGCTTTTACTAGCAAATAAGCGCCAAAATGAGTTCATCAAGATTCAAACAATTTCAAGCTAGGCACCACCCATAAGATAGAGCATCATTTTAGGGAAAAAAATGAAACTAGTTTCATAATTTTCCAAGCTAAAACCAAATTTCTATGAATTTCTAAGATAAATCTAGATTTAAGGATTTTTAATTGCCTTGTTTTCCAAGTAAAAAAATTTGGATAATTTTTTTTAAAAAAATAATTTTTGTGTATGAATTTCTTTTAAAACACATTTCTAGTCTGATTTACCTCTTAAACTTTTAATATAGTTCGATTTATCCTCTCTGACGTGGGACCACATAAGCAGAACCATCATCAAAACCGCTCAGGTGCAAAAATGAACGGTTTTTAAAAATTAAAGGTAGTTAAAAAAAACTGGTTTTGTAGACCAGGAAGACAAAATCGGACGATCACGGTAGTGGTGATAAATTGGATTTTTTTCCTTTCTAGTTTCAGTGGCACAAAAATATTCATGTGTACTAATGACATATATTTCGTGAAAATGACAACTCTAAAAAAACATAAACGTATCTCCACAATAGATGATGCAACACATGTCTGCACATGCTTGTTGAAATATTTGTTTCTTTCACATTACGTTAAAGTTGAAAATTAACTTACCGATCATACTGTTTAGGATAAAAAAGACCTTGTTAACCAACTTTATGTAATGATATCGGGCTTATAATACGAAAGTTCCAAAAGGATGATCCGATGTAGAATTTGTGTTTGAGCTGCATGTTAGAAGACGGGTTTCTTTGTTTGAGCAGCATGATCGAAAACGGGTTTCTTCTGTCTTGCATACTCTTATTCTCATATTATCATGAGATATTCTCTTACCAATTTAAAAAGAAAAGCAGATTCCTAGTCGGCTTGGCACCGCCAACGTGGAGCAGGGGGCAGGTCATCTCCCATGTTCGGTTGTACTTGTCAGAACATCCTTTTTATCTGCCCCTGTTCGCTTCGCTGCAAATCGAAACGTTATTCTGGCTGATTTATTGTGAGAGAAAAATACTATTCCAGCTGAAAAAACAAGATGAAAGGTATGGATTATAAAAAAAACGAACAAGCCTTAGAGTCACAACAAGATTGAATTTATAATTTTGATCATGCCAACGATCAAAAAGGACATGAACAAAGGAAAGGTTAAGACTTCAACGATAAATGGTACATACAGAATATCGTCTACTAACTATATAAAAAAGGTTGCGTATTCCATTAATACAATTTTAGTTTATAATAATCAACATTATTTTAGTGTTAAATATTAAATAAATAGCGTATATGTAGTCATGTAGAATACTTCCAACATAGTCAACAGAATTGCATATAACTACTTGGCTGCTAGTACTTGTTAGGTCTGTAATACTCTTACGACGATGTTAAGAAGTCGTGGCAATTTTGGTTCTTCACCGATTATACTTAGGATATAATTGCTCTTCTTAATCCTAGCCATATATATGCAAAATTCAATTTATAATACTCATTCGTCACTCCACCTATACAACTCACAGTATGTTTGTTTTGTTGCCGACTTCCTCTCCTTTTTATCTATTTATAACGCCACAAATATTCTTTTGTAAATTAAGTTTGTTTGAGACTAATTTACACGTAATAGTGATGGCTGAATATAAACGTATAATGTTACAAATGTAGTAATGCTTAAAGTAGAGTAAAGTGCACCGACGATCCCTAAACTTATACCGTTGTGTCATCCCGGTCACTAAACTCGTAAATCAACCGTTTAGGTCCTCAAACTTGTTCATCTGTATCATCTTGGTCCCTAAACTTGTTCGACTGTGTCATCTCGGTCCCTAAACTTACAAATCATCCGTTTCGATCCTTAAACTTGTTCAGTTATGTCATCCCGGTCCCTAAACTTGGTTTTGAGTCTCATCTGTGTCAAAATAGGGTGATCTAACAATTTTATATCAAAAAATAATTCATTATTTTTTCATATGAACTCAAATGAAGACAAATTTTATATCAAAATTGTAGCCCTCGACGTGATCTACGACTTTGTAGTTGAAAAGTTTTTGAATTTTGAATTAAAATTGTTTAGGGTCCCAAAATATTATTGTATGTTTATAGATTTTGAAATTTAAAATTTAAAATTATCAAATAATCTTGGATATTGATATAGTCTATATGAAAGTTATAGTTCTCAATACAATCTACAACTTTGTAATTGAAAAGTTTTTTGTTTGAAGTCATTTAGTGTCCCAAAATTTAATTTTAAATTTCAAATTTCAAAATCTATAAACATACAATAATATTTTGGGACCCTAAACAGTTTTAATTCAAAAAAAATTCAACTACAAAGTCGTAGATCGCGTTGAGGGCTACAATTTTGATATAAAGTTTATCTTCATTCGAGTTCATATGAAAAAGTTATGAATTATTTTTTGATATAAAGTTGTTAGATCACCCTGTTTTGACCCAGATGAGATTTAAAATCAAGTTTAGGGACCGGGATGACAAAACTGAACAAGTTTGAGGACCTAAACGGGTGATTTGAAAGTTTAGGGACCGGGATGACACAGCCAAACAAGTTTAGGGACCGAGATGACACAGATGAACAGGTTTGAAGACCTAAACAGTCGATTTGCGAGTTTAGGGACCGGGATGCACAGCGGTATAGGGACCGCCGGTGCACTTTACTCCTTAAAGTATTACTTTTATATAATATAAAACTATGTTCAACTTAAATTATCATTAAATTATCTTTTTGCGTGTACCAACATGATTCAAGTCTTAATTGAGTTATATTAGTGAAGTTGAACGCAGAGTTTTCAAAAGTCTGAATTGAGAGTTTTCAGAAGTCTGAATTGAGAGTTATATTAGGGTTCAACCAGAGTTTTCATGGATCATTTTGCTTCGTGCCCAGTTAAACCCAAAATAATATCTCCCCTATCTTGTTCTCTTCCTGCTCAAACCGCCGCCGCCAGGGACGCAACTTCTCCGATCCTCCGTTCTCGGCATGCCACCAAAGTGTATCTATCTCCCTCTTCTTCCTCGCCGCCGCCTCCACTTTGCCCGATGCTCGCCGGTCGCCGGCGTCGCCAGGACCGTTACATTTATTCGGCCTGTTCGCTTGGTCGTAAACGATCGTAAATTTCTAGCCAGAATAGTATTTTTCTCTCACACCAAACCAGCCAGCAGTAATAATCCACGATCGTATACGATCGTACCAGGACTAGCCGTGCTGATTATCGGCTCCAAGCCCCCACCCAGCTTTTTTATTCAAACGGGCAAACAGTCTGGGGTGACCGTGCCTCCTCCATAATGCTTGGGAGGTAACAAGGCACTTTGGATGCCTCGTTAACACACACACACACACTTTGGATGCCGCAGGCAACAGCTACGACTGTACGAACGTAACAAAAACAGAACAATTTTTTTTCAACATATACATACATACGGAGTACATACATACGTACATACAGCATACAACTTGTGGATACACACAATCACACGAACACGTAAAACCAGAGCGCACCACGGCGAGGACAACCAGCACGCTTATTCCAGCTTCGGCCCCACATCGGAAACCACATCATTCACGAATACACAAACCAAGAACAACAATCACACAGAGCAGCCGTGCTCTCCATGAGTAGCACTTCACATGGTATTCGTGTTCAGCTTCGCGCTGCCGATCTCCTCCCCGCGGATCACAGGCGCCTCCGCCGCATAGCCTTCCTTCACGTCTTCCCCTGCAACCCACAGAGCTCGTCTCTCGTCAGCTTTGCTAATGGCGAGATCCTTCTGTTAAAAAAAAAGGTAGTTCTATTGTTCCAATGTACCTGTGGCTGTGGTTGGCTGTACGGTCTCGGAGACCCGGTTCCCGCCGGTGAGCGACGTGACGGCCTCGCGCGCTTTGGTGATCACCTGCCCGGGCGTTGGCACGCGCTGCGCTACCGTGCCCCCGACGTCGTCCTTGCGCCGCTGCACGGCGCCGGAGATCGCCTCGCTGAGCGCGCGGTCCTCGTCACCCGGACGGAGCTTCTCGGCGATGTACCCCGTGACGGTCACCCCCCTTGTCCTGCCCGCCGGCGCCGGGGGTGGCCGTGTCCTGCGGCGCGCCGGCCCCGGGCGTCGCCGTGCCGGCCGACTGCGTGGCCTACTGGACCTTGCCCGCCACGGCGGTGCCGACGCCGGTGACCTTCTCGTACACGGTGCTCGCCAGCTGCTTGCCGTACTCCGTGGTGCCGGCAGCCGCGGACTTGATCTTGTCCGTGTAGCCCGCTGGCCCTGGCCCCGTCGCGCTGTTGTTGGTCGCGTCCGTGGCAGCTGGGGCGTCCTTCCACTCCTCAGCGCCGGTGTCCGACACCGGCATTGCCTTTGCCTCGCTGTGTGCGCCTTCCGCCTTCGCCGAGCTCTCCTGCGGACGGAGGTTGGGCGCGACGGCGGTGCCGACGCCGGCGACCTTGTCGTACACGGTGGACGCCAGCTGCTTGCCGTACCCAGTGGTGGCCGCGGCCGCCGACTTGATCTTGTCTGTGTACCCCGCGCCTCTCGCCGCGTCCGTGGCCTCGGGGGGCGTCTCTCCACTCCTCCGCGCCGGCGGTGTTCGACGCCGGCACTGCCTCCTTGCGTTGTTCGTCGTCGCGCTTCCCCACGCCCACAGCGGTGCCGACGCCGGCGACCTTCTCGTACACCGTGCTCGCTAGCTTCTTGCCGTACTCCGTGGTGCCGGCGGCCGCGTTCTTGAGCCTGTCCGTGTAGCTAGCGCCACCGGCCGCGCCGCCCACCGTGTCCGCGGCCTTGTCTTTCCACTCGTCTGCTTTGGCGCCCTTCTTGCCCGCGCCCACGTGCGCCGGGTCGTCGGACAAGCTCATCGTCTCAAACTGCTGCACCACGGGCGTGGTGCCTATGTCCTCACCCTCTGCAACGAAAAGGAAACGTGTCAAGTGCCAGGGCAACAGAGCAGAGTGCCAGAAGACATGATCGAGTGGCGTTCGGAGTGTGCCATACCTCGAGCGGCGGGCGTCGTGGAGCGCGGCGCGGCCGGATCCTCCACGACGGGGCCGCCTATATCACCGAGCCGCACCCTAGGTGCGGCGCCGTCGCCCTCCACCTCCTGAACGGCCGGTGTGCTCGCCGGCTGATCGTGCTTGGCGACGAGGTCCGGTGCCCTCTCCGACTCGTACACTGCAGACGGATCGAGCACACACGTAAATATACACAAGACTTGGAACATGTGTAGCCGAATCAGCCTAGCACGCGGTGCCAGTGAACAGGTAGGATCTAGCACTTACTCGGCGCGCCGTTCACCTCGGGGTCGGACTCCATGACGACGGGCTTGTCCTCGACGTCCTCCATGTAGCCGCCCTTCTCCAGCGCGGCCTCCCTCTCCACCGCGTCCTCCTCCTCCTCCTCGCTACTGCTGCTGCCGGTGCCGGTGCCTGCGTCTCCCATGCGCTCGTCGTCGCCGCCGTCGTGGCCGTGGCCGTGGCCAGCGAGGGTGTTCTTGATCTTCTTCACCTTCTCCTTCACCTTCTTCAGCACCGGCTTGTGCTGCTTCTCGTCGCGGTGCAGCTGGGCTTGACCCCCGGCTCCCTCGTCCTCCACTGCACGCGCGCGCGGCATCACAGTCAGAGTAAGGTAAGAGAGAACGCGTAGTAGTACGTAGTGCAGGCAGACTAGCGATCGGCTCGGTGGCCGGCGGGCGGGGTCGGGGAGTAACTCACCTGCGCCGGTGTTCCGGAGGCCGACGTCCTCGGGGACGTGCTTGCGCGTGAGCATGGCAGGAGCGTCCATCGCCGTCGACGTCGCGAGACCTTTGACCGATCGAACTGGTGCAGCTCGCGATCGAAGATTACAGAGCCGCTAGCTGTTTTTGGGATCCTGAATCTCTCTCTCTGGCTGCTTTTAGCGAGCTTGATCGGCAATGGCGAGAGTTGGTGCGGCGGTGAGGGGCTCGACGAGGATATAATAGGAGCGGGCCGGGGAGGCGAGGGCCACCTCGACGCACACGTGGATTATGGGCGGGAGGGCGGGCGGACGCGTGGCGGGTGCAGGAACTGCTTCGGTTGGGCAGGAAGAAGCCCTGCCACTGGGAGGCTTGCTATGGATAGAAGCCCGTTCGTTTGGCTGTTTGTTTGGCTGGGCTGTGACGAGAGAAAAATACTATTTGTTGGACTGAAAAAGTACGGAGCCAAGTGAACAGGGCGAGAGTACGGGGGTTTGGTGTTTGGCCGCGTCGAGCTTGTCGGTGTACCGTGTTTCTCTGTTTGGGTGAGGGCGGTTGAGGTGTGCACGCAGGCCCTGATTTCTGCTCCGGACTCTAGGACTGGAAGGCTAGCTGGTTCAGAAGTCAGACCTGGGCTGGGCTAATTTGTTCTCTCCTGTCCCCGGCGACCTGTTTCGTTCACTTCGCCGGACTGTTTCTGCTGTGGGCTGTGTGCCTGTGCGCGACCTGCTTCATGGAATCATGGGGAATTCTTTCGGTACTCCCAATTGCGCTTGTCTCGGGTGCCACGGCCACTGCTTCAACCTTCAAGCACCAAGCAACAAGTACCGGCGCACCAGGGTACGCCGGCACAATATTGCATCGGAGTCACCTACATATATGATTATTAATAGAGCATGGAAATATCTATGATCAAGTAGAATTGAGCTTGAACATAACTTAGCGAAGGAGTTCTTGCACGAGTTTTTGCTCTGCTTCAAGTTTTAAATGAAGACAGCTGCCTATGTGCTATCCATTCTTACTTTTAGATGAATTTTTATGCGCATCTAGGGGTGCTACCGTGCATTTGGTAGTACAGTGGCAGCCTAAGGTGCGGTAGCACTGAAGTCTCCCTTTTCCATCAAATTAGGTTTATTAATTTCATCGGGGAATATGTCTGGAGTGTGCTCTGGAACTGTAAGTGGTGATATATTTCTTTTCCGAAAACTTGGTCACAAAGCATTGACATTGGATGATGCTAGAACTATAATTTGGAATTGAATGAGCTGCAAACAAATTCTATTACCTCTAAAGTCTAAACTTAACACATGATGGCATAGGATTTGTACTATTCAAATCTAAACAGTGTTAAAATTACACTGTCAATGCTGAAATTTATATTTCAGTTACCTACTTGTTCGTCTGTTATTTAGTTATAGTTAAAAAAAACTCCCTTTTCTTATACGAACTATACTAGCATATGTTATAAGACAAATGTCTCATCCAATATTTGTTCCGTATATAGATCGAGAAATCAACATATGTCTAATGAGAAAATTAGTTCCTTGGCTCTAAAAAAAAGTTGTGTTTCCTTTCTTAGCCCTTTTTGTTTTGAACTTCCCTATTTGGCCCTAAAACGAAATTCGTTTCCTTTCATGGCCCTTCCGTTAGTTTGAGGCTCTAATGTTGTTAACTTGTATGCAAAATTACCCTTTTATACCTGACGCTGAAGACATAAGTACAACAGCCGCAGTTGTGGATTTTATATGCACTTCAAATGCATGTGCAAATATATAAAAAAAATAATGGTTCCATGTTTGAAAATATATTGTATCTTATGTTGTATCCAAAATATATATTTTGGAAAATACATGGCTCTACTGGTGCACACGAGGCTGCGGCTGTTATACTGTTGCCTTTGACATTAGGGTAAAAGGGTAATTTTGTGTATAAGTTAATACTGTTAGATCCTCAAACTAACGGAAAAGCCAAGAAAGGAAACAAAATTCGTTAGGCCAAATAGGGACGTTCAAAATAAAAAAGGCCAAGAAAGAAAACACAACTTTTTTATGTTTTAAAAAAAACACAATTTTTTAAGGCCAAGAAACTAATTTTCTCATGTCTAATTGTTGTCACAGCCAGACAGCCTCTCCACAGGCTCACAGCAAATTTTAATGCGCCTGTCTCCCAACCCAACAGCCAAGAGACTCGTCAACTCCGTAAGGTGGGCCTAGTCGGCTTTGAGTTGGCCCGTAAGGTCCTGATGGATCTGATTGATGTTCCAACGCCTAGTATTGGCGCGTGTCTTCGGTTTAACAAGTGTGTAAGAAAAAGAAAGTACTCATTCATTCCAAAGTACTTTTTTTTAATTACTCGGTACAGACACAGATAGGTAAAATCAATATAGCCAAAATATTTTATAATTTAGAGGGAGTAGGAGTACATTTTAAGATTCTAGACTAGATCACCAGCTGCAATTTGAAACGGAGCTGCTGCTCCTCACGCACGCGAAAGAAGGGGACGAGGGAAACACCGTGTCCGTCCAAGTGAAGCGAGTTCGTCCGGCTAATTTTTTTTTTGGACAGGCTCGCCCCGAACCTCAGCGCACATTTCAACAGGAGAGCGGCGCAGAGAGTGCGGGGGCATGGTGCGGTGGTGCCGACCGGGCGGCATGGCGGAGAAGCGAGTTTCAACCGCCTAATCCTCACGCGATCCTATCGCGGCGACGGAGCCAGCCTTCACCGCCCCGCCGCCACCCAAGATCCTTCGCCGTCACCAGCTCACCTCGCAGATCCACTCCGCCCCCGCCTCTCCCAGCAGCCGCAGTACAACTTTGATACTAGGAGCGCCTCAGCAGCAGTAGATCGGCTCGCCATTCTCGCCGCCGCAGCCGCCGCGAGTGCGTCCGCCGCCGCCGCCGCCTAGGAAGAGATGTAGAGCTCGCTGGTGGACGCACGGGAGGCGGGTCTGCGAGATCCGGCGCGGAGAAGACCGAGATGAAGTCCGCCGCCGCCGCCGTCTTGCCTAGGTCTACGTCGCGTCCTTCACCGGCGACAAGCACTCTCTTGATCTGGTCGGGGCCGGCGTGGACAGGCCTACGAGGACGTTGTCGATGAAATCTGGTCGGCAGTCTACCGATGGGTATACCCATGGTAGTAGATGAATCGGTGGAGGTGCGCGTGATACGAACCAGATGGTAACAGAGACATAAAACACAAGATTTATACAGGTTCAACCTATCAGTTTGACGTAACACCCTACATCATGTGCTCTATTATTTTTATATCGATTGTGTATCAGATTCGATATATCCCGTCTAAAGGACCCCTGCCTCTCCTTATATACTCTGGAGGGGTAGGGTTATAAGGAAAATATCCTATTTGGTATTACAATATCTTCTTGTAGCCTTGCGGTGCACGCCGACTAGTGCCGTGCGCCGCACGCCTTGATCTTGTGTGCTGGGCCACCTCTGATGGTGCGGCCTATGTCTTGTCTTATAGATACCGGGGGGTATATCCCCCACAGCTAGTCCCCGAGTGCCTTGTATCCTTTGAGCAACGCTGTCTTAAATAAGTCCGAGCAGTTTGACGTGATGCCAACCAGTTTAACTGGTGATCCGAGAGGTGGAAGTCGAAGCCGACCAGTTTAACTGGTGACCTGAGCGGTGAAAGTCGAAGCCGACCAGTTTAACTGATACGTAGATCTCGGACTTAGTCAAGTAAAGCTTGCCAGAAGGATGTAAGGGGCTCAAGGTAAAAAATTAAAAATTCTCCACCTTAGGCGGAGTGTAGCCACTTAGACTCCGTTTGCGAGGAATCATCCATGAGTTAGTCAATAAGAAGGATAAATCAAGAAAAGAGCACTACATTCACCGTTAGGTAAAGTGTTGCCACTTAGTCTCCGAGCCTACTGAAAGATGAAGAATAAATCTTGTAGCAGGGTAAAAAAAAAGCCTGAAAGCTTGCCAACGCCATCTGTCATGTGCATATCAAGATTCCAGACGTGCTACCCAAGATCAGCACCCTGATCCAAACAGCATGAAGCAAGTTGATAGCACACCAATGAGACGTAGTAAAATTCGATCACCAAGGGAGTCTCCAGCATAGCTGGCGACTCTTGCACGAAGAATTCAAATGCCGAGGAGTCCCTAGCTCAGCTGGAAACTCTTGCACGAAAAATCCGAACACCGAGGAGTCCTCAGCTTAGCTGACGACACTTGCACAAAGAATCCGAATGCTGAGGAGTTCTAGCTTAGCTGGCGAGCCCTCAGCGTGGCTGACGATGAAACGACGGACAATCCGACCAGTTGGTTGGCGAAGAATCGAGCACCGAGCAGCCCAACCAACTGGTCGGCGACGAAGTGAGCGTCGAGCCATAGGGAGCGCCGAGCAGTCTACCAACAGCACCGAGCAGTCTGACCAACCGGTCGAGCCTAACGATCCGACCAACCACCCGGACGATGATCCTCTTGTCCATCCCGACTGATCCAGTCCCCTAGCGTAAAAAATAAGCTCGTCGACTGAACCTAACCTCTGTAATACAAATATGTAGAATGGGTAGTACATGATGTAAAAATATATGAACAACATATGCGACATTATGTTCATTTTTTTATAAAGTGTTCAAATTTAAAATATAAATGGAGTCTGACTAGTTGGTTCTTTATCGAGTCACCAGCCCTAGCTAGCCCATATCCCATGGCGTAGCCCACATTCTTTGGGACAACAACTCACATCCCTCTAAGGCAAAGGATGCCTCTACTACCTCCACTAGTCAAGGTTCTGGAAAACATTACAATATTGATTTGAATGCTTATTCCACTAACCTTGCAAACATGGAGGCAATGAGAAAAGAAATTGCTAGACTCAATGAGATTATTAACAAGGGTTGCTTGAGTGGTAAGGCTCAAGTAAGTGACAAGAAGGCAAATAATTCAAAAGTGCCTCAATTCAAGCAAGGGAGACACCCCTCAATCAAGCATGGACTTGGGCACACTACAGGAGCCAAGACAAATGGAATAAATATCATAAATGGCTATGAGTGTGTCAAGTTAGAGAGGAAGAAAAGAGTTGGTATAGATCAGCCTGCA